TCCTCCTACTCCTCCTCTGTTGCTGCTGCTCCTCCTCCTCCTCTTCTTCTTCTTCCTCCTCCTCTTCTTCCTCCTCTTCTTCTTGCTCTTCTTTTTTGTTTGTGTGATATTCAGGCCAGAATCCAGGCCTTCCCACTGAGCTATAATCCCAGCCATTTTTATTGTTATTTTTGCTCCCAGCCCTTTCTTTTCATTCTTTAGTTTTGAGACAGGGTCTCACTATGGGGCCCCTGCTGTCCCCGAACTCCCAGTTGGCCCTCCTGCCTCAGCCCCTAGAGTGCTGGGGTTACATGTGTGCCGCCGTGCTCAGCTAGCAATGAACCTTTTACTGTCCTTGTTCTCATTTTAACTTAAACATCGATCATCCCTCCTATTTTTAAATCCCCACAGACACACTGTAGCTGCGAGGAGTCCAACTCCTCTGGTGTACCACGTACGCTGGGCTCCTCCCAGACCCCTGACAGTCTCTTCAGTGTTGACGTCAGCGTGTGGTCCGGGCGCGTGGCCGGCGTAAAGGCCTGGGAGCCCGAGGGCAGGCACGCCACCCTGTGAGAGCCACGCGTGGGGGCCACCTAGTTTCTTCAGATTGCTTTCCAGGCGGGGATTGAGAGATACAGAGACTTGGGCTGGGCTGGGCTGGGCTGGGCTGGGTTCGAGTTTTTCTTTGTTTTCTTATACTTGGGGTCATCTCTGTTCCTCTGAGCCTGAGATGTCTTTTGAGCGTCACTCTCTTGTAAAACATGTGAGTCTCAGCCAGGAGAGGTGCACACGCTGCCATCCCTGCCCCGGGAGGCTGAGGCAGGAGGATGGAAAACTCAAACTCAAGTAAATCGTAGCGATTGAACAGCAGCTTGTTTCAAAAAATAATAAAAGCCGGGCTGTGACTCAGTGGAGTAACCCTGGGTTCAAGTCCTGGTACCAATAACCCTCCTCACCTAAATTAATTTTCTTCGACCTTTCTTATGACTTGTGTCATTAAAGAAAAGCCACATCCACAACAACTGGCAGACAAGGTCCTTCTGTGCCTCAGGCTTCTGCAGAGAAGCTGAAAGTGATACCTTGAGGCTTCTCAGAAAATCTGTGACACTCACGCCCTTGACCTCGTGGAGGCCTTTGTCTGAAGCACTGTTCAAAATGATAAGAAAGCTGCATCCGGGCTGTGCTCTCAGCCCCTGACTCTAACGTCTTCCTCATTTCCTGAAAGACAGAAGCGGTCCAGTCTTGGACTGGTTTTCTCTACTTGGCCCTGGTGGATAGGGGCAGGCTGGAGCTTACGCTGAAGCCACCATTATTTCTCATAAAAAGAAAGTGACTCTCAAGCCTCCGCCACAGGAAGTGGGGCTCCCAGATTTGTGAGTTGGTCCTCTGCTGCTGTTACAAACTAGGCCAAGTTTTGAAGGCCGTGAGCCAAGATGGCGGGCCCTCATCTCCTCAGCCCCTGGCTATGTGCCATCTTGACGGCCACATCAGGTGGGAACACTTGTGCCAGGAACGATCACATGGTGACAGAGAAAGCCAGACAGAGCAGGGAAGGGGAGGTCAAGCTCCCTCGTTAGAACACACTTCATCTTCACAGAACTTGACCCACAACAAGGCCAGCGTGGACTTGAAGCTCCTTCCGCCAGACTGGGGCTGAGGGCAAAGTTTCCACACGTGACTTTCTGTGGAACAGGTCATGTCCAGACCCCAGCACGGGGCTGGTGCACAAAAAGTCCCCAAGAAACAAAAAGAACCGGCCCAGGTACACAGCAGCAGTGGGCCTGCAGGTCAGAGGTCCATGGAAGATTCTAGAACACATGGAGGAAAGGGTCGGCAGAAGGAAGCAGGTTGGAAAAGCGGGAGCGAAAGAGGGACAGAACAGGTAGGACACCGGCAGGCCATCGGAAGTGGAGGCAAGGGTGAGTCACATTGGTCAGGGAGACCGCAGCCACCCAGGATGTCAACAGAGGCCAGCTGGGGCACTTCCTGTTTCCTCTCAAGCCTGAGGCTATGGCGGCATCCTGGGTCCAGGGACTGTTCGGACTCCCAGAGCCTGGGGTCTTCCCCTTAAGGCCCAGTCTCCCGCCTCCCCTCCTAGTTCTTAACTTTCTTCCAGGGCTTCCCAGAGATGGAGCTCTGCCCCAGGCACCAGGGCAGGGAAGTCCAGGGACAGCTCCTCTCGGGCAGGCTGGGGTGTCTGCTCACAGCTGAAGAGCAGGCCTTCCCTGGGAAACATGAGTGGGTGGGCAGGGTCAGGAAGGCTGCTCAGAAGCACCTCTTAATTGCCTTGGCGGCTGTGGTGGTATTAATTTGCTGTGTAGCAAGACGCTCTTTTTATAGAGAGATGTAGGATGAATTATTTAAGGGTGAAATGTCAGGAAATCTGTGATTTATTTTAAAAATACTTCTGCATAAAAATTACAGTGAGTTAAAAATACAGATATGGAATGGAGCCTGTGGACCCGGAGCTAGACAGCGTCCGTGGCAGGGAGCTCCTTCTCCTCTAAAGAAATCAGTCAGATGCCCTGAGCTCAGGAAGCAAGGCGGCTGTAGGAAGCTGGGGCTCAGCCTGGCCTCCTGGGCTGCAGATCCCAGTCCCCGCTCCTCCGAGCCCC